GATAGAAATGTAAATTGAACATAAGTTTGTGTGGAAGGACTGGCAAATTCTGCTTTGTAAAATTACTTATGTATTTGTGTAAACAGAAAAGGATTTTTTAATTTGATTATTTTTAATTGCTAGACATTTTATTTTTAAATTTTTATTTAAACATTTAGAAAGAATGGCGGAAATAAAAAGAAGGGAAGCACTTTAATGAAAATGTAATATGATAAATAATTTTATTGACAATTTTTTAAGACATAAATAAATATTTTATTTCTCAATTCTTTATTTCAAAATTAAGAAAAAAATTAATTGTAAATACTATATATAATTTAAATTTCATTTTTAATTTAGGTATTTGTCAAGGAAAAGTTGCAAATTTAATTTAAATTATAAACTTGAATGTAAACGTTTTAATAAATTTGATAAAATTAAATAATAAATTTTTGTAAAAAAAAGATTTTAATTTTTACAATAATCTCCATTTTTAATTTCAATTAAATGTGTAGCATTTATATCCCCTAATTTATTCCAAGCATTCCTTAATTGTTAACTTTTAAAGATTTTAAAAAATAAATTACAAAAAATTTTTTATTTAAAAAACTAAAAAATTCTTTAGATTTAAAAAAAGTACAAATATCCATGAGAGAAAAATAATAAAAAATTTAAATATTCAACGAGGAAGAAGAAGATTGTTGATTATTATTGTCACCTTCATGAAAACTTGCATATTGAGTAAAGACAGCAAGAAGTGATTGCCAACAAGCAATAATTCCTCTGTTGCCAAAACAATGGGAAATCTGGAATTTTTTAAAGAAAATATTTTTTTGGAAAGATATTTAATAAAAATTATTTAATAAAAATATATTAGCAAAAATAATTAGAGAGGGGGAAAATTTGTGAAAAAAGAAGAGGAATGTTGAGTAGAGACCGGACCGAGATCTCGAGCAAAAATCTCTCGAGATCTCGATTTTCGTAAGACCCAACCAGTCCTATCTCTAATGTTGAGTAGTGGATAGCTGAGTTTGTCAATTACTTCTCCAAAAATATTTTTAGAAATATCATTTGCTATTATATTTTTTTGTAATTTTAAAAGCATTTTTAGCTATTTAAAATAAAATAAAAAAATTTTTATATGACTGGCCCTCGCAAAACGTTTAAATTGATTAAGAGTGTCAGGCATTAATTGCTGCATTTGTAATTGTTGTGGGTCTATTAATTCTCCAGGCATTGTTAATTCAAGTGTTTCTTGCTCAGTTGCTGTTTGAACAATTGAAATAGCCTCTCGAAGTATTCCCCTTTAATTGAATTTAAGAATTTAATTTTACAAAGATATTTTTTTGTTAATTTTTGGGAAGGAATAATGACTAAAAAATAAATTTCCTCATTCCTAACGATCAAAAATATTAAAATTGGATTTTTTCTCATAGGTTTTGAGTTATCCCTTAACAAAAACATTCCATTCAATTTTTGTCAAAAGAAGCAACTAGAATAAATTTGTTGGTTTCCAAAAATTCTTATTCTTAATTCCCAAAATATTGTAAATACCAACATAGAGCTTTTTATATCATCAAGACTTTGATTTCCTCGACGATGCATTTCCATAGCTATATGATGATGAGGGAATCCATTACTTGGGTCTTTAACTAATTTATCAAAATCTTCAGCCAATTGAATAGCCTCTCCTTAAATTTTGTTTATTTTAAAATAATCTTTAATTATTTTTTACTTTCACAAAGTGTAGAGAATGCTGTTACTAAACTTGATTTACGTTTTCCAGGCTGGAGATTTAGACCGCAGTCATATTTACCCAAATCTTCTCTCAAACTTTTACCTCCATTTTTATTTTTAGCTCTGAAATTAAACACAAGTATTTTAAAAAATTGAAAGGATTTTTGTCAATATTTTCTAAAAATAATTTAAATTTATTTTTAAATTTCTCTGGACCGAAGGGAGAAAATTTTCATTTTAATCTCCTACCTTCGAAGAATTCCACTCAAGTAAGAGGTATTCAAACATTCAGGCATACTCAACCTTCTACATAATTCAGCTAACGATATTGGATATTTTTTGTTATTATTTAACAATGAGAGACGAGCGGGGACCTAAACTAAATAATTTTTAAATTCAAATTAATTATTTACAGATTTTTCATAGAAAATCATTTCAAGGTCAAGTAGTTGTCTCTCTCCATTATACGTAATCCATCGCATATAAGGCGGGAATTTTGGCTCTAAAAATTAATAAAAGAGTTCTAGTTATTTTATATCATAGATGTCTAATTTAAATTAAAAAATATTCTAAATATTACAGAAAACAGAGTAAAAGTACCGTTTGTGTTTCTCCTTACTTCATATTTTCTCATCTCCCAAGAAAAAAAGAGAAAGAGGTTTGCCATTAGGGGTTAATCGAATTGCTGAGTTCGAATATGAGGCCAGATTTTATTTATCTTAAATCCCTGACCCTAAATTCGACCAGGTAAATTAAATTTAGAAATTAAAAATTAAAAACTGGCACGTCCTTCGAGCTCGAATTTTAGGTGCAGAATTCGAAATAATATCTGGCATCATATTCGAACTCAGCATACTCAATTACCTACTGGCAAACCTCTAAAATATTGAAAAAGCTCTTCTCTCCTTCTGGAGAGATGAAAAAATGAGAAAAAGGGGAAACACAAACGGCACTTTTACCGAAGTTTAAAAAATATTTAAATTTACCATTAAGAGCCAAATCAAGACTTTGGCCTGTTTTAGCACTTAAAGCGCTTTCTTCAGAAGAACCTCCACTGCTACTTTCATTCTTTTGTATATCTAAAGAATTTTTAAAAATATTTTTTAACAATATTTTTTTCAATAACACCTTTAATTATTCTTTCAATTCCTGCAACACCGCTATCTCTACTTAAAAGAATTTTTATTTTTATTTAAAGAATTTTAAATTTACGCATTGCTAAATGTTGAAGAATTGCTTAATTGGGAGGAAATTATTTGTTGCTAAAATAATTTTTTTATTATTTAGACAATTCTAATTCCTCTACCTGCCCACCAGATGCAAATAATCCACTTTGGAGCATTTGTTGGGGATAATTAGAAGGATATCCATATACTCCATAAGGAGTCATTTGAATATTTTCAGAAGAACCAACGCCGCCAGTAGAGGAACTTTGAGCGCCTGAGAGATTATATTGGTGGCGATTTGGTGGACGAATTGACGGGAAAACTGAATTCCCAGCAGCAGCTGCAGCAGCAAGTCCTTGACCTTTTAGTAAATTAATAATTAAAAATTAAATTTATCAGAATTTTAATCAAAATTATATTAAAATTCTAAAAACAAAAAAGAAAAAAATCCAAATTTTTATTACCCCAAATCGCAGCATGTTGCAAATTTCTCAATGTAGCTTGCTCAAAATTATAAGGTGTTGAATGTGCAAGTGGGGCATAATGCATCTAAATAATCGGAAAATTAGTTAGGGATTTTTAAAGGATTAAATTTAAAAAATAATTTTAAAGACAATTATTACATTTCCAAAATTTGGAAAGGTCGAAGCAGTCGAAGAAATTAAATTATTATATCCATAATGTTGTTGAGGTGTAGAGTAATTAAATTGTTGCTGATTATAATTTGACCCTCTACCTGAAGAATTTAAACTTTGTAGTAAAGCGGAAGTGTTTTGATGTTGTTCAAGTTTTATTGGTGGAGGACATTCTGGTGAGCTACTGCTGGTTCTGAAAAATATTTAGAATATTAAATGTATTCATTGTAGTTAAGAGGTGTTACGACAATTGCGGATACGCACGTGCGGATATGACAATTACGGATTAAAATTTTTTTAATTTTTAACTGATTAAAATGATATCCTGTTTTTTAGTCCCGGCTGTCAGTTTCAAACTTCTGACAGTTTTCGAATCATTTTTAGACTGATGTGGCACTGAAAACTTTAAAAAATTTTCATATCCGCAATTATCGTCCGCAATTGTCAAAGCCGCACGTGCGTATCCGCAATTGTTGTACCGCCAGTTAAGATAATATACAGTAGTCGACATAAAGATAGGGACAAGAGTAATTTAAATGAAAATTAACTATTTTTCGGTCGAAAAATACGTTCTATATATCAATCGAAAGCTCTATTTATATCTCAGTTGACATGTTTCTGCATTTTTCATGAAAATGAAAATTGGCCGAGATAATCCGGATCTGCCGGATATACCAAATCCCACAGCCTCGGAAAAAATTTTCGGAAAAAATCTAACAAACCCATTTGATAAAGCATATTTTTGTGAGTATGTATCACAAAACCGCTTAAAAATATCTCTTTCCGGACCAGAGATATGATTTTTTGAAAATCGCATTTTTCCCTTAAAAATTGAATTTTTTGCAAAAATAGACGAAAAATGCCATTTTCAAAAAATCATATCTCTGGTCCGGAAAGAGATATTTTTAAGCGGTTTTGTGATACATACTCACAAAAATATGCTTTATCAAATGGGTTTGTTAGATTTTTTCCGAAAATTTTTTCCGAGGCTGTGGGATTTGGTATATCCGGCAGATCCGGATTATCTCGGCCAATTTTCATTTTCATGAAAAATGCAGAAACATGTCAACTGAGATATAAATAGAGCTTTCGATTGATATATAGAACGTATTTTTTGACCGAAAAATAGTTAATTTTTATTTAAATTACTCTTGTCCCTATCTTTATGTCGACGACTGTAGTCTTGTAGATAATAAGGGGAACTTGGGGAATACTGTAATAAAAGCATAAATATCTGCGGGTCTCCTCGATAAATCTCATCTAAAGTGCCTCAAAATTCAAAATCCTTCACTCACTTAGCCGATCGAAGTCCCCCACTACTCTCACTTTCATCCTCAACTTCATCTTCCTCGTCTTCCGCATCTTCTTCAGCAGATCCAGAGGACTGGATATTTTCAAATAAATTCTTTTGAGTATTTAAATAAGGGCGTTTATTGGAAGGAATTCCACAATTCTCCTAAAATATAATTTTTTTATTTTAAATTTACATATTCCATTCTTCTACTTTTTCTTCTTGATTTAAATGTTCTTCAGTCAATTGTCGTTTATGTCCAAGAGATGAAGATAAACTAGTTGGAGTTGGATAAAAATTATGTTGTTGTTGGTGGGGGTGTACAAAAAAATTTTCCTTAAAATATTTAAATTTAAAATTTATTTTTTTCCTTCCTCACATTTGCATAACTTTCATTGTTTAAATTCTGTTGTTGATTTTGTTTAGACATTGAAATTAAATGTTCGTTTTTGTCTTGATTTGAATTTCCTTGTTGATTAAACATTTTTTTATAAAAACTATAAAAATATTATTTTAAATTATTTGAATTAAAATTAAAAAAAAATTTTCCTTAAATTTTTTCCTTAAAAAATTTTCCTCTCTAAATCAATTCCAAAATCAATCAATTTATTCATAATTTAATGAATACATTAACGTTTTTGGTAAAATAATCTTCTCTCCTTTTCATCCATTAAATTTAATTTACTCTCCAGAAAAACCTCGCCTATCACATACTCATCAAAAAGAGATCAAAAGAAGGGAGAGTGAATGAGTGTAGGTGCAAAAGAACACAAATGTTAAGATACATAAATTTTTTAATAAGGAAAGAGAGAGAGGTTAAAAAATGAGGATTATTTTAAATAGAAAAATAAAAAAAAATTAAATTTATTTTTTAAATTTTTGTTTGGTATTTAGCAATGTTTAGAAAATATAACCTAGTAAAATTGAGGAAAAGTGGTGATTTTCTCAACACCTAATAAATATATCAAAAATTAAACGGAAAGGTGTAAATTTATAACTAAATAGTTTTTCTCACGTTTGGAAAGTAATAAATGGAAGCAGAATTTATACAAAAATTATAATTGTATCATTAGGTTGAAAGGGCAAAAATAATAAAAATATAAAAATTTATATTGAGCTTGAACTTGGGCTTGTCTCTGCTCGATACACATACCCGGCATTTTCTGATATTAATATAAAATATTTTTAAAATTAGTTTAGGAACACGAGAGGTTAAATATTTAAATAAAGAACTAATTTTTCTGTTAATGAAAAACTGAATACGGAAGAAATGAGTTAATTTAAAAAAGAGGGGAAAGTACTTGATTGAACACTGACAATTTTTACGTCGATTGAGTGCCATTCAATTAAATAAAAAGGAAGAAGAGTTTTTGTAATAAATATTTAAATATTCTTCTCCCAATCTGACTATCGACACTTTGATTACCTAAAATTAAATATTTTTTAGACATTCTAGGGATTTCTAAAAGGCAAACGAAAATACTAACTTCCTTATTTTCCTTATAATGAGAAAATAAAGTTTATAAGTTTATGGGCGTTTTACCCTCTATTTGAACTATATATTTATTTTCTTTTGTTCTAAAAGTTCCTTTTTAACGTGAAGTAAAAAAGGAAGCAAACAATTTTTGAACGTGAAGAATTGTCTGAATATCGGCATTTTGAGAGTGAGGGAAAGGAGTAAATAAATATAGACAATACGTGGAAAAAAATAAAAAGAAAAAGAAGTTACTGGAGAATTTTAAACAAAATAATTGCTTAGCCTTAGGGGACAAATATCTTCACGGCAAACAATTAAACTTAGCTGACCCTTTTTATTTGATTGATAAAACAAAGGAAAGGCAAAAGGATGGGAAGAATTGAATATATTTAAATTACTGTCTCTTTTTTGCTAAATTTTATTTAAAAATTTCTTAATTAAAGTTGTTTAGATTTTCCGGTCCTATCTGATTCAACCCAATAATTACTAGACCAGACAAAGACCTATTTATGAATTTTAAATTTGTTCTATTTAGAACCCTTTAATAACATAATTATTAACGAATAAAATTAAAATTTTTGGCAGTATTCAAAAAACATTAGGTGATTGTTATAATTTCGTACTAGTTCTAGGGGCTAAATAAGTAAAAATAAAGGAAATTGTCCCATGAATAACCAACAATAAATTGATGATATATTTATCAAAAAGGTTTTGTAAAAATATAAGAGCACAATAAGAGATTTAAATTTGCAAAATAATTTTATTGAGAATCTGAAAATAATAATAATTTAATATTCTAATTTATAAATCCCCTTCATCTAATTTAACTGGATTGTTCGAAAATAAACGTTTGGCCTTCGCATCATCAGTTTCTTCAGAAATATCAGGAATTATCTAAAAAACATTTTACATTTTGTTTCGAAAAAATATTTCAAAACCTTTAATGCGTCTCCATGTACTCTAAATCGGTAAAGACATGTCAAATAGGAACCCCAATTTGTCAGAGTTTCTAATTCAATAATATTTGTTAAACGAGAATCCCAATGCTTTAAAAATAATTTTTTGAATAAAATTATTATTTTAGCTTTACTTGGACATGAAATATTTGTAAAGGTTCACCCTGCGCGTCATAAGTAAAATTGCCTAGTAACGTACGAGAGAGCATATTATCCATATCTTGATAACTCTAAAATTTTAAAAATTAATATTTTTTATTCAAAATTATTTTTAAAACCCCCTACCCAAACAAGAAAATTCTTAGGGGCTGTTCTAATATTTCCATCAGGTGATAATTCAATTGGCAAATGTTCATATGAAACAGCTGTAACATTAATCCGACCAGATAAACCAATAGTTAAAAATCCATGACCTCCATAAAATGCCCAACACTCACCAGCAGAGGCTCCATAACCTTTTCTCTAAAAAAAGAAAATTTTTTAAATTAATTTAAAAATAAAAAATTAGTTGGATTTATCTAAAACTTTCAATGGGGAGATATTGTTTAAAAAACTCAATTTCTGTCATTAAAATTCTCACCACCATTTCCTTCCACGTTAAGGTAATTTTTAATTTTTAAAAATTAAACAAAAATATAAGAAATACCCAAAAGGGAATTAATCGAAATAATTCTTAAATAATTTTTTTTTCAATTAAATACCAAAAATTAAATAAAAACTACTTGAATAACAGTCCTTGGACTATAACTTGTATACCAAAGTGGAATCCCAAAAAGTTTTTGAGTTCTAGATTTTTCATTATATTGAACAGTGCAACGAGTACTTAATACAGACCCGCCTTTAAAAAATTTTTCATTTAAAATATCACAAAATTTTACCAGAACTTTCCAAAGCATAATCGGGCATTCCAGTGTGATCAGCTTCATATAAACGAATTTCTTTTTTAATTAAATACCGAACTTTTTCAATTAATGAACTTTCATCTAATTCTTTAATTGTTTGCTTAAATTGAATTTAAATTTTAAAAATTTTAAAAATCCAAACTTTATTTTCAATTATTTTAACAATTTCTTTTTCTTCTTTATTATTTAATTTGTCATAGAATTCTTCTTGAACTTTTTTTAAATATTTAATTTCCTCTCTAAGTTGTGTATATTGATCATTAAAAATTTGATTTTGTTGATCTATTTTCTATAAAAATATTTTAAAATTATTTATTTAAAAATATTTGGATATACATATACTTCTCCAGAGGTAGGTCGGAACGGTCAGAGCTGTCGGAAATCGGAAGAACCGGAAATCGGAACTGGCTCAAAAGTTGAAACTCGCAAATCAAAATTTTTTGAGAAATCGGAATTCCGACCCACCTTTGTACTTGTCAAAAAAACAAGTCTCTCATTTTTCTATCCCTCAATTACAAATAAATTTTAAATACTTGTGTAAGCTTAAATTTATTTTTTTTAAATCAATGCTCCCTCAATTTATAAAAAAATATTTTTTTAATTAAAATAATTTTATTAATAATTACCTCATCAATCTCTAATTTAATATTCTTCTTCCATTCTTCATTGTATTTTTTAAATAAATTAATTATTTTTTCTTCAAAATCCTTCAATAATTTATCAACATTTTTTTCTTCTTTTTGTGAATTATTTAATTTTAAAAATTCAATTTTTATCTAAAAAAATAAAAAAAATTAATTAAAAAATAAAATTAAACATTTTGTTGAATCAATTTGTGGATATTTTGTTGAAAGAAAATTCTTTCCTTAGCAAACATCTGATAGAAAATTTTTTGAGTATTTTCGTTAGTCTACAACAAAAAATATTTTTAATTATTTATTTTTAACATGGGAACATATGCTACTGTCACCACGAATTTGATATTTTTTGGTACCATTCGATAGTAGACCCCCGACTTTCTATTGGATAGTGCTATCCGTTTTCTTGCAAAATGACTTTAGACGGTCATAACTCGGCCAAAAGCCATTTTGCAAGAAAAAGGAAAGCACTATCCAATAGAAAGTCGGGGGTCCACTATCGAATGGTACCAAAAAATATCAAATTCTTGGTGACAATAGGATAAGGTTCCTAGTAAGAAAAACCTCCTCCTTTTTCTCTTCTTTTTTAATTGACAAATTTTTCGAAAATAAATTTTCTTCCTTTTTAGGTTTAAAATCATTAAAAAATTCTTTGCAATAATCAAAAATATAAAAAATAATGTTTGTACAATTTTGAAATATTTGAAGCAGACAACTATGAATCCAAATAATAATTGTTTTGACTAAAAAATTTATTGAAAAAAACAAAATAATTAAATTAAATACCAATTTGAGCACAATAACTTAAAAAATTGACAACTAAAAATAAAAAATCAAAGTAAATATAAAAATAATTTAATAAAAACCTTTCTCTCCAAAAGAAATAAAATAAATCTTATAATTTGAAAAAATTTGTAACATTAAATCCTTTAGAGATATGAATATTCCATCGAGATATGAATAAGAACTTTCTAAAAAATAATTTAAATTAATATATTTAGTGTTAGCAAAGACGTATCCAGGGGGCTGGGAGGGCTAGAGCCCCCCCCCCCCCCTCCGAGATGGAGGAAAGGGGGAAAAATTAGGAGAGGGATGGTCGAAAAATTGAAATTTTTTCGCCTACAACCCTCAAATTTTAAAAAATTTTCGCAAAAAAATTATTTATGTACAAAAAAATTTGCCGTAGGAATGCCAAAGTGAACGCCAAAATTTTGGCGCACACCCAATGTTAGCCCCCCCCCCGAAACTGGCCCCCTGGATACGCCCTAGATATCTGAAAGAACTTTTTAAATAGAATATGTACGGAACGTGGAATTCCAAAATAATTCAGACCGATTGTTTTTAGAGCCAAGACCGAAAAACAGGCCGTAGCCAGGGGGGAAAATGTAAATAATTTTTAACTACTAACCAAAAATGTAAATAATTTTGTTATAAATATTTATTGCAATATTTGTTGTATTTTCTTTTAAAATAAATAAATATTCTGCAGTAATTGATAGAAAGGAGGTACCATTAGAAACATTTTTATTTAAACAAAACGGACTAATTAAATCAGATTTTTGATTTTCCAAAGCTAAAAATTAAAAAAATAATTTTAAATTTAATTTAAAAAATAATTACGGCATATTTTATTTAATTCTTCTAGTTTTTCATTTTCTTTAAATTGTTGAAGAAATAAATAAATTAAATAAACAAAAAATAAAAATATTAAAAGATTTAGAAAATAGAATTTTCTAAAAATAAAAATTAAATTAAAAAATAATTAAAAAAAACCTTTTCTTAATTTTTTGTAGTTTATTTATTTTTTGTTTTCGAATTGTCGAATAATTTGTAAATTTTCTTAAAATAATTGAATAAAAAATTGAACGAGTAAAATTCCAATAACTTTCTGATTCTAACCAAATCTAAATTTAAAATATTTGTGAAATTATAGAAATTACAAAAAATTTTAATAAAATTTTGAAAAATTTTTTTGGTCACAATTCGGAAGGGTCGAATATTCGCGCGGCCATAAGGTCGCCAAGCCATGACTTGCCAGAAAATTTCTGGCCCTTATCAATTTTGGAACCAATCTCTTTAGCTCGATGAGAGGAATAGTTTAATACTAATTGTAAATTTGGAAAGATTCGGAAATCTTAAAGCAAGTTGTGGATTGGCGACCTTATGGCCGCGCGACTATTCGGGCGTGTCACAGTTCGTAAGTTTCCCCTGTAGCCCAATTTAATATTAGGTGCGGACATAATTAGTGACACATTTTTTCAATCGCTGATAAAAATATTAAACTCTTATATCTTTCTTTTAATTTATATATCATTTTAAAGCTGTTACCCAAACAGAGGGGAGTTCCAGTGCCCCGAAGATCTGCACACGGAAAGAAGCTTATGCTGTGTTTTTTGGTCAATGCGTGGTCCGGTGCACTGGGAACTTCTCAAACCTAATACGAGTATTACCTCTGATCTCTTTTGTGACCAATTAACAAATGTGGATAACGCCGTCCGAGTTTTGCGTGGGCTGGGGCGCTGGGAAGGGCCGGTGTTTTTCCAAATGGATAACGCCAGGCCGCACACCTCGGCAAAGACACTCCAGCATATCACGGAAACACTCCGATGGCGTCTGATTCCTCATCCGCCTTATTCCCCAGACCTTGCTCCTTCTGATTTTCATTTATTTCGATCTTTAAAAATTTTTCTCCGTGGCCAGAACTTCAAGAATTCCGAGGATGTCGAAAATGCCATTGGCTTGTATTTTGTCTCCAAAATGCAAACTGGTTTTTTCGAATGCGGAATTCGCAAACTTCCCCATCGCTGGCGTGATGTAATTGACTTATCTGGTGATTATCTCGTTGATTGATATTTTATTTGATTGTTATTTTGCCAAAAAATAAAGTTATAAAAATGTGTCACTAATTATGTCCGCACCTAATAATATTTTTATTGGTTCCCTAACGTTTCGTCACTGAACTTTTCGTCACCGAACCTTTCGTCAAAACCTTTCGTCACTGAACCTTCCGTCACCAAACCTTTCGTCACTGAACCTTTCGTCACCAAGACTTTATTTTTAAAAATCAAATAAGAAGTTGTCAAAAATGACAAATTGATCATAATCGGTAATTTAGTTATATTTACTGTGTTGCTAAATGATAGGAGATTGGGTGATAGGAGATTGGTACCCAATTGGGTCATTAGCTCGCTGAGCAAATTCAGCAAATATTTGTTGCAAATTTTGGTCTTGAATGACATAAACCGACTTCCGCTTAAGTCCCTTTCCTCGGATACCGTTTGCCGGTGCATTATTATAGTCAGCAATTATTTGTTCCCATCTTGCAAATTCTTTGATCATTCGCTTTACAAATTTACTTAACAACGGAGTAAATTTGACAACGTAAATTTAACAACGGAGTAAACAGCCTGTCCAAAAAACCTAGTAACCGCAAAGATAATCAGTGTTGGGTATTGATGGGGGCTTTTTCTTTGAGCCAGAGCCCAGCTTTGATTTATAGTTGTTGCCATTGACCTTAAGTCCTTAGAATCTCTCCATTGGAGTGAAATAGAGGAAAAGAGAGTGAAACAGAGAAAAATATTTTTACGTTGTTGGTATTTTGGTGAACTAGCCACATATCTCTCATATCCCCTATATAGTATTAACACCCCCTATGCAACATTAGTCATCCTTAGATATCTCTCTTTATTACTGCAAATCCCTCGTTATCTCTTCAAATTCAACAAATCCTAGTAAATCACTGAAATCTGCTATACTACAACTCCACAGATTCTTCAATTTTGAGCGCCGCAGGCATTAATTTTTAGGATTTTAGAAGATCCTTAAGCCAAAAATCTTCCCTTTTCAGCACCGCAGGCGAAAATTTTTGGGAATTTTAGAAGTCCAAGAGGCCAGATTTCTTCATTTTTTACAAATGAAAATATAATTTTGTCAGAAAAATCCATTCTTAGGGGTGTAAAAATTTCCCGACTTAGTCGGGCAATTGACACCGGGAGTCGGGATCGGGAGGCCAAAAACTCGGGAAATTTTCCCGAGTCGGGAGTCGGGATCGGGATACCCGAGCATCACTACTACGTACTGTCTCCTATCATTTAGCAACACAGTAAATATAACTAAATTACCGATTATGATCAATTTGTCATTTTTGACAACTTCTTATTTGATTTTTAAAAATAAAGTCTTGGTGACGAAAGGTTCAGTGACGAAAGGTTTGGTGACGGAAGGTTCAGTGACGAAAGGTTTTGACGAAAGGTTCGGTGACGAAAAGTTCAGTGACGAAACGTTCGGTCACCTTTTTATTAATTAAAATTAAAGCGTTAATTGAATTAAAAAATAAAAACCTTACATATTTAATTTCATTCAAAAAATTTTGAAATTTGTAATTACTTGTATTAATTGATTTAAAAGCATAACTAGAAATCATTGAAAAATAAGAAAATAAAGCTAAACCTTTAAAATAAATTAATTTTAAAAAATTAATAATTAAAAAACTTTTAAAGTAGAAATATCTCCAAATTGATGTTGAAAAATAAAATAAATTAAAAATTTGTGAAGAAATTAAAATAAAAATTTTTGTAAAAATATTTCGTCGTTCAATTTGAGTAAATTTTGTTGGCGTAAAATGAAATTTTCGACAAAGCCTAGGGTGTATATATTCTCTATTTCCGACATTTGTTTTGTAGGCAAAAGTATAGGAATAAGTGTAATTTGTTTCATAAGGACTTTAAAAAAATTAAAATGGTCATCTTCTGCTTCATTGGTCCCTAGAAAATGAGGAAAAAGTGCTAGTGCTTAGATTTTTACCCCAAATTCGACTTGATCGGATTCGGGTCCGGGGCTTAAAATAAACAAAATCTAAATTCATATTTGGACTCAGCGCACTTGATTACCTACTGGCATGACTCAAAAACGTCGAACGAGCACTTTTTCTTCATTTTTTTCTAGGGAACAATGAAGCAGAAGATTACCAAAAAATAAATAATAAATTAAAAAAAACCTTTCTAAAATTTCATTGATTTCCTCTTTAGATAATGAAGTAGAAGTTGAGTGTTTTGATGGTGAAAAACTTCTAAAAATATAATTTTATTGAAAATATTTAAAATTAATTAAAATACAATCGTCTGTAGACATCCATTTTAATTTAAAAAATTAAATAATATTTTTGTTAAATATTTTATTTTCTAAAAATTAAATAAAATTAATGAAATTTAATTTAACTAAATTAAAAAAAATTTAAACAAATTAAAATTAAATAAAAATTAATTTAAAAAAAATTTAAAAAATAAAAATATATTTTTTCGAAATTTAGATAAAGCATGGGCAGACATTATAATGCGGAGAAATATCATACATATAATAAAAAGAGAGTGTCATACACTCAATTTTTTTATTTTTATTCGCTTTTGGTGCCAACCTCCTTGTGCTGAACTGTCAATTTTGACTGTCAATGAGTGGGGGGAGTGTCAATGAATTTTTATTTAATTTTGTAAAAACACCTTGTTTTGTTTTTCAATTCTTATTTTTTTAATTTTAGCTTACCTCAAAAATACTAAGAATTTGTTCAAATTTAAAATATGGCAAATTTAAGGCATACTATTTCTCTGCTACGTTCTGTTGAAACAAACTTCGGTTAATGATTTGGAGACTAAACCATTTAAATAATTCACAGCATTTAATTATGAAAAAATTTTATGATTATTTTTGTAAATTGGAAATTTTGGTACTTATCCCTTATACCACACCCCCTCAAAGTAGTGTCCAAAATGTCATATATGGGGTAATAAAGGGTGCTGATCACGATTATGGTGTTTATTTCTCAATATAAGAACCCCCTCACCCATAAATTGTCATGGTTCATAATGGTCAAACTTCAAGTTTGGACGCATTTGACTACCACAATGGCAGAAACGTTCAGTATGAAGCAAACCGCAATTTTGAAAAAATTTTGCAGCGTTTGATTCATCAGGACATCCCCCATTAGTGTGTCGTAATTATATGGCATTTTTTATTTATTTTTATTATTATGGGTTCAAATGAATGAAATCGTTTATATGTCGGCGGTAAATTTCAATTTTAGGAAAATTTCAATTTTTCCGGAAAAATTGAAATTTTCCTAAAATTGAAATTTTCCGCCGACATATATACTCATTAAACGACCAATAATCACACAGAAAATAAATATTAAATCTTAGTGCATTAATATTGCTCATACCTACATATATATTTATTTAAATAAAAACTTGAAGTTTGACCATTATGAACTATGACAATTTATGGGTGAGGGGGTTCTTATATTGAGAAATAAACACCATAATCGTGATCAGCACCCTTTATTACCCCATATATGACATTTTGGACACTACTTTGAGGGGGTGTGGTATAAGGGATAAGTACCAAAATTTTTAAATATTTTTTCTGAACTTGTTAAATTTATTTAGTGCTTTAAGGAGGATATTACTCCTATTTTTGAGTTATTCCAACAGAAACTAAATTAGCTCTCCGGACATGCACATATTTCCGTTCTGTATACCTAAAAATAACCACACATCTTTAACGGTTATTATTTTTGAAATTATTAAATAAATATACAAATAATTAAATATTTTTGGGAATAAACACAAATAAATTTAATGCAAATGAATTAAATTTTCTTTAATTTCAAAAAATCAAATTTAATATTAGTAACAACACAATCTTATATTTATTTAAATTTCTAATTTTATCTATTTAAATATTAATAAATGCTAAAGTTTAAGTAATGTTTCACGTATTCTGCACAATCTTTTGTGTAACCTTTCCCTTCTTTCGACTTCAATACTATTCATGGGTATTTTGGAATCATTTAATAAAATATCTGTAGTATATCCCCTTTGAATTGCCAATAATTTTTCAAATTGTGCAACACCAAATAAAGTTAATATATTTATTTGGCCTTTTATTCGAATTGGAATTCCATTAAATAAAATATCACTTTGAAAGTGTACCTAATTAAATAAATTAATAGAATTTAAAATAATTTAAAACCTCATTTTGTTCTGGTACTATATTTGAGTTGTTTAAATTTAAATGCAAATTTAAACCGTTGCTGGGGACTGCCTGTGGGGAAATTTTTAATTAGTTAAAGTTATTATGTTTTGAGAAAAAGGTGGTGGTATTTTTAATTAAAATTTCTGGTCGAGCTGGAAAATATTCTAAGGCTACAAATAATTTTTTGAAAATAAAATAAACGGTTCTCGAGGAATTAAATTACTAATGATGGAGATTAAACACTTACTAGATCTCAAAAACTAATATTTGGGTTTTGATAGAGTGGGATTTTACAGGTTTAATTCTACGGGGTAAAATTAATTTGTTTACAATATGCAGCCTTTTAGAAATTTGAACAGATTGAAGTAAATTTTGTTGTCTTTCACGTTCCTTTGCATGGGGAATTCCCGCAAAACATATTCCTCTTGTTAATTCAATTAAAAATTTATCTGTTAATGAATTATTTTCATCATCATTATTATCTGATATTTGTTGTTTATTATTAGACATTTTAATTATAATTAAGACTAAAATAAATTCTCACAGAATTTTAATTAGAAAATATTTTGGCTGAAAAGTTTAGAGAAAATTGAAATAATTTAATTAAAAAATTTTTGTTCTAACCAAGTAAATATTTTTTCTAAAACTAATGAGGTTTGGTTAAAAATAAGAAAAAAAGGATAGAAAGATATTATCTCAAAAAGAATCTCTTTCCTCAAACAACCTCAAAACAAATTCCTCTAAAAATATATCTAAAATGAACTGTCATGCCCATTTTTATATTTAAAAAATAATATCTTCTCTTTTTTCCCTCATTAATATTA